GCGGGGTGGGGTGAGGGTGTTAATTCAGAATTAAATTAAAAATTAAACTCAAAGTACTCTATTTTAAGATCAAAATTGAAATTAAACCCAAAAATGATAGATGATTAAAAAAATTTTAACTTCATTATCTTCAATTTTTCCCTTTTTCCTTTAAAGATCGTTTTTGGTACACATTTTTATTACCTACAAATTTGTAATAAATTTAAACTTTAAATTATATTAAGATCAATTATGCTAGAATAAATAAACTTGAATTACAATTTACAAATTAACTTAAGATAAAATCAAATTACAATTGTAAACTTGAAATGCAGAACAACATGTAATAGAAACTTAATTACAATCTTATAACTAAACTTAAATTTTCAAAACTTGAAGCAAATTTGTAAACTTGCTTTAATATAAGCTCAATCACAAACTTAAGTAACTTGAAATACTTGAAAGAAAAAAAACTTGAAGCAATTTTGTAAACATGCTTCAATATAAACTCAATTAAAACTTGATTAGGTAACTTCAATCACAATTAAAATTATAATACAAAACTTAAATGAATTATTTATACGTAATAAAATTAAATTTTATTTAAACTACATGTTTTAACTAAGTTCAAAATTAAAATTTTTAAACAATCGGAAACAAATTTATGTAAGAAAAAAGGAATATGTATGTATTAACTAAAATAGGTATATCATTTTTGCTTCCTTTCTTCATCCTTAATTTTTGTAGACCAAGAATTAATAATTAAAAATAATATCCATTTAAAACATTTAAATGTCACCCAAAACAAAATAACCAAAACAATTATAGAGAAGAGAATAACATCAAGTGAATAATAAACAAACCAATTCATTTCCTTTTCTCCAGGTAAATTAAGTTCTGGCAAATCTCCAAATTCTGCAGCAAATTCAACCCATTTTGCAAGTCTTTCTGTTGGGCTGAATGGAGTTAAGTTTAATTTTTTGGATATTATTTTGGCGTTTTGTTGATATTTAGGTTGGTAGAGAATCTGGAATTTTGGAGGTGATTAAAATTTATTTCTCCAATGTTACCCTTTCCAATGCCTCTCCCAAAACATTTTTACCGCTGCCTCCTTTCAAGTGAGATACATCTACTTGAACTCCCAAACCTCTTGTTTCTCCAACAATACAATTGTAAAATTGATCTCCAAAAAGAGGAATCCCAATAATAGGAACGCCTGCCCGTGCTGACTCAGTCAAACTGTTCTGGCCGCAATGTGTGATAAATGCGCGAGTGTTTGGATGTGCTAGAATGATATAAAAATTCAAAGTTTTGAGATCTGTCTTGGGCGAGTTCGTGTAATATCCAATGGAATAGTTCGGGACTCGTGTAGAGAAGAGAGTCAAGTATTTGTTGTGAGAATGGATGAGAGAAAGATCAGAAAAGAAGGAGAAGCTGCCCCTAAGGGCAAGCTTCTACGCGTAAATATAAATGGATTCGTAAAAACTAATAATATATTCTATGCTTAATGATCATTACAAAACCACCAGCCTCTACTCCTGTAGTGTCCAACATTAATTTTTACCAAAACTAAGACCAAAGCCCAGGGCATCTGTTAGGATATTTCGTAATTACAATTTACCCAGAATTGCAGGTTGCCTCAACCACTGAAAATTATGAACATTCGGTGCAGATTCAAACATTTTTAAATTATTATTCACTGTTTCATTATCAACTTTCCAAATAAAATGAATTTTAGGAAATCGTCGAAATGCCCCAATAATAGATTTCATCATCCGTTCATTAAGTTTTGTTGTATCCGTAAGAGAACCAAACGAAAAAAGAACTGCCCCTTCTTTTGCCTCGTCTAATATTCTTCGAGTTTTCTTTAAAATTCCAAAATTAAAATGAATTTAATAAAAATTTATTGCCTCATCCAATTTTTTGCTTTCCTCAGATGCCATATCATCAACAAGTCCACCTATATAAACAACTTTGCTAGAAATTGGACGAGTCAATTCTAAAAATGGATTCGAGTTTATAAATATTAGAGAAGTATTTTTGACTAGTTCTTTCAAATTAGGGAAATCTTGGCCAAATTCTTTGCGGATAATTTTGTCCTTAAAAATATTTACTTAAATTTTAGAAACAATTAAAACTTGAGTTCGAAAATAAGTTTCATCAATCCAAAGCCAATCGAGAAATTCATTGTAAAAATTGAGCAATCTTAAGAAAAAGGATGATTCAAGTCCAAGTCTGGGAGCCATTGCATCTAAAAATTTTACAATATTTCTAAGTTTATTTTCAATTGTATTCTCAAGTTTTATTCATGTGCAGTTACTTGAACATATATTTTGATTTTTCTAATATCCATAAAATACTCAGCCAAAGTGAGTATGGGTAAAATTGGGTTTTCGATTCACCAAAATTTTTTTGTGAAAAATATTCCCTGTCCCGTCGGGGAACAACCCTGATATTGATACCAGCTCTGTCTAGACAAAGGTGATAATCCCATTATGTAATAAGCTTTTTTGTATACATGAATTTATTAAATTATCTGTATGATCCTCAAAAGTAACCGGAGCTATTAAACAATTAATGACAATGAAAAAGATATAAATCAATTATGTAATAAAACTTTACTTGGCATGAAGCTGGCAAAGCTTGGGATGTCAAACTTTCGGCTAATCATTTGAATTAAATGAATAGCGGCAACTTTTATTTTTGTTCGAACATTAACTTTATGGAAAAGAGCTGCAGGGCAATAATCATACATTTCTGCTATGCCGACATCAAAATGTTCATTAGTCAATTTTTGTATCAATTCATGTTCTTTAAGTGTATCTACAAACGAGAAAAATTATACCTAAGTTGTTAGGGAGAGCCCTAGAACAGGGTATTTTGATAAATCCGGTTTTATTTGCTTCCAGATTTTCAGGGTTACTGAAAACATGATTGGTTCAGTTTAAAAGAAAAACCGGAGGATGTTGAACAGACTAGAAGCTCTTTTCAATGGCTTTCAATAAGTGAGCTTTTATTTATCATATACATGCCTATATTGGGGCATTTAATGTATATTTCTAGTTTAGTTACCTTTACATACTGTAGCCATGATTGGATCAAACTCAATAATGGGGTGGTCAAAAAAGGTCAAAAATGGACGCCTTTGAGAGAAGGAATCTGCGACTAGATGCATATTTTTAACGTCCACTTTTTTCGCGTTCGCCAAGCTAGGTGCAATCTGATGTATCCTTTTTACCTTCCTCGTTTCGTTTTTCAGTTGTAAATCTGGGCTCATAATGTATTTGAGGAAATGCTTTAAAAATATAATTTAGAAATTATTCTGTATTATTAAATCTTTAATGATTTCGATAGTGAGTTGAATGGGATCACTAGCCCTTTTAAAAAATAGTAAAAATGATTTTAAAAAGAGCTTGTGATCCATCGAGCTTGCGCTCATCAATTAAAATTTTAGATACCTAAAAGTTTTTAATGTAATTTTAAATGCCTGAATCACTCACTGCTGAAAACAGACGGCATTGTCAATGACTACCAAATACTTAATAATGTCAGGATTTCGCCGTTTTGTGCATATTTCTGTTAATATTTTTGGGGTCATATAATGACGATGGAATCAAAATTTCCAAAATACAAGAGGTTTTAGGTTTTAGTCCATAGTCAATATAAAATTAACCCTAATTAATAATGTCCAATGATTAACTAACCACTTCATGGCCAGCATCAACTAAAGTATCCGCAATTCTTCCCAAAAATTGGCCATGACTCCAGCTTAAAGAGGGTGAATATACAAGTATTTTGAGTTGTTTTCCCTTTTTAAATTCTGATTGTAAATTATCAGAATTGTGTTGTAAAGTAAATAAAATTAAAATAAGAAAACATAATGTTGGATATAGATGATTATGTAAATTGAAGTGTACAGAAATCATAATAATTGTGTATTTTAGAGAAATATTATACTAAGAAATTTTAAATTTACTAAACTAAAAAATATTTAATCGTTTATTCCTTTTGTTCATTTAATTTCCGTTTAATTTCTCTATTAAATATATTAAATTTAAGTAAGTTATTGACAGGAAAATTTTATAATTATTTGGAATAATTCCGGAATGAAAAATAAATTAATAGAAAATCAAAAATTCTCTTTAAAAAACAAATTTTATCTTTAAAGAGAAGTATTCTCTTTAAAGATAAAATTTGTGTGTCCGCACTTGCAGAAAGAGCACGTATGTAGGTAAAATTCGGAGCAGACTAAATTACCGCAGAGGTATAACTTCGTTCAGAATTGTCGAATCCGTCTACACCCTGGTATGGCTCGCCCATACCAGGGTGTCTATTATTCGACCCTTGTTCGCTCTTAGCCGCCTAAATAACTTGTTGAATCAGCTGAAAATAGCTTGTTCACGTTAATTTATTTTCCTAAGCTGCTTTGTTTCGATAAAAATAGACAAATCAAAATAAATTTTTATTTAAACTAGAAATAATCGCTCAGTATTTGTTTACTTTCTAAGAATAATTGTTAACATTTCCATTGAAATGTTAACGTAATCCTTAGTAAAATTTAAACTACATTTCTTATCAATTAATTTAAAAGATCTAAATTTTTACAATTCATAAACTATAATATAGATAAGTTAAAATTGAAAGAAATGTGAACCAAAATTGATCATTAAAAATTTAGTAAAAAAATAAATTTGATTGTATACATTCCAAAAGGAAAATGCATGTCTTGTATGGGGAAAAGCTTTGAAGTGAGAGCCTTTAAATGGTGATTTGACTTTGCTAAGAGCGAGCAATGTTCTTTATTTCGTCATTTTTTGATAGATTTACTCGCTAAAATTATTTTTTGGCAAAATATGTAGGAGAAATTTTTCTGTTAGAAGAAATTATTCTTTTCGTAATAACTTTTTTCAAAGTTGATGAAAATAGATAATTACTTATAGGAAAGGTAATTACTTATAGGCAAGGTTTATAACATTCGAATAAGCTCTGCCGTCAAGATAAGACTATTAACTTGTTCATGGGCTGAGATATGGATCTTTACAGGATAGATTAGATATGAAAAAATTTAAACAGAAAAATAATTACAAATATAGTAATTTTGTCATCAAAATAAAAAAATATTCATCCTTGCTTCAACTTTGTTTCTTTTCCTTCAGTTTTTATGAACCAAGAGTTAATAATTCCAAATAATATCCATTTAAAACATTTAAATGTCAACCAAAACAAAATAACCAAAACAATTATAGAGAAGAGAATAACATCAAGTGAATAATAAACAAACCAGTTCATTTCCTTTTCTCCAGGTAAATTAAGTTCTGGCAAATCTCCAAATTCTGCAGCAAATTCAACCCATTTTACAAGTCTTTCTGTTGGGCTGAATGGAGTTAATTTTAATTTTTTGGATATTATTTTGGCGTTTTGTTGGTATTTTGGTTGGTAGAGAATCTGGAATTTTGGAGGGGATTAATATTTTTGGCTAATAAAAAGCCTCTTACACTCCTTATCGCTTCAACCAAAACATTTTCAGCATTAGGCCCACTCAAATCATTAACATCTATTTGAATTCCTAGACCCCGTTTTTGAGCAATATCAGCATTGTAAAATTGGTCAGCAAAAAGTGGAATTCCAACAATTGGAATGCCCGCAATTGCTGATTCTGTTATACTGTTTTGGCCGCAATGTGTAATAAATGCTCGGAGATTGGGATGTGCTAGAGCAAAATAAAAAAAATAAATTTTATAAAGCTTCAACAACTTTAAAATTTATAATTATTTTAATTTTAAGAAGGAGTTGGACTTCGAACCATCTAACTCCGACCAGGACCCTGAAATATTTTATCAAACCTGACCCCGACATTGGCAATTCACGACAAACCTTATCCCGAACATTACAACCTCGAGGGTCGAGTTCAAACCTAGTTAAGAATAGTGTGTTAATCTAACTCGACCATAGTTCTGAAATATTTTATCCAATCTGACCAAGGGATTGGCAAACCACGACATACCCTCCTACCCTGAACTTTAAAATTTCGAAGGGTCGAGGTCGAAACCTAGTTAAGGATAGTGTGGTCTACGATAGGTCAAACAAAACGGCCAAAGACATCCCACCAGAGAATAGCCAAAGATCGGATAGGAGATGATCCTAAGAGCTTTCCGATTTAAAATAGTTAAGGACATAACCATCCACTAGCAAGTTTCATTTTTTGCTCTGTGTTGTTTAGGTCAACAAACTCACCTAGAATTGCAGGTTGTTGAAGCCACTCAAAAGCATGCACATTTGGCAATTTTGAAATATTACTAATTGTATCCTTGTCAACTTTCCAAAGGAAATGAATTTGGGGGAATTGTTTGAATGAATTAATAATTGAATCCAACATATGTTTGCCGATTCTGGTTGTTTCTGTAAGAGAACCAAAAGAGAAAAGGACAGCACCTTCCGTTGCTTGATCCAAAATAAGCTGAGTTCTCTATTTAAATTAAAATAAAAATGGGAAGATAATTCGGAAGTTACTTGATCTAATTTTTTGTTTTCTTCTGATTGATCATTTGCCAGTCCTCCAATATAAATAAATTTATTAGAAATGGGTCTAGTCGTTTCTAAGAAGGGATTTGAGTTGATAAAGACGAGTGAAGAATTTTTAACAAGTTCTTTTACATTCGGAAAATCTTGGCCAAATGCTTCTTTGATGATCGGATACTAATTAAATTTAATTATTTTTCAAAAATAATTATGTTTATAGTTAAATTAGTTTCAGAAAATAATAAAGGACTGGATAGAAATTAATCCTGAGAGCTCTGAGGCATAGTTGTCCTCCACACCTCCTCCCCTCACTTCCGAATGATCGGTTTCATATTTTACTTAAATGGTATTATCAAGACCAACCCTTGACCCAAAGACCAGAACCACGACCGAAAAATAAAAAAAAGTCTTAAATCAAGGCGGATGACCAAGAGTATAGGACAACTCTACTTCTACCATGCTTGGAGGAAATTTTGCCAGCTTACGGTGTTTTTTATTCTGTTATTTTTTAATAAAATAAAATATCAGACTTGAGTTCGAAAATAAACATCATCTATCCAAATCCAGGCTAAAAAGTGATTATAAAAATTGATCAATCTTGAAATAAATGAGGATTCAAATCCGACATATAAGGGTGCAAACAAATCTAAATTTGTTAAAATATTTATACAAGCAATATAACAGATAAGAGGCCCGTACTATTTAAAAACGAGGCAAAAAAGTGATGTTACTCCTCATTTCCAGTATCCCTGAGAGCAGGTAGGGTTAATAAAAATAGGTCAAAGGCCTGATCCAACACTTGACGTACCGAACTCAAGCAGGGAGAGTGATTGTCTCTCATTAACCTGATTACTTTGTACGTTAAAGGCAAATATTATGATTGTAATTTCTATTTTAGGCTTATTTTGATTGTAACTTTTCAAGTTTTATATTAAAATTAATATATTCATTAAATGCAACATTATAATTTATTAAAATCTGACTTGGTATGAAGCTGGGAAAGTTTGGAATATCGAATTGGCTGGTAATATATCCAAATAAAGGAAGAGCGTACGCTGAAATCTTTGTTCGTATTCCAATTTTGTGAAATACAGCTACACCGGTATAATCATACATTTCTGTTATACCCACATCGAAGTGTTCTTGAGTTAGTTTTCGTAGAAGTTTTCTTTGCTTAATTATATCTGAAAATTTATTTATTGTTTTTTATTTAGTCATTTTTTATTTACTCCTGTTAATCAAATTTAAATCTTTAATAGCTTAGAAACATTTTGAAATCAAGTTAATAACGCAATTGAATTAATCTGTTAACTTAATGAATTAATCTCCTCTATTATACTGAAAAAGCTTTAGAATAGAAAAGCTTTAGCTTTACAAGTTGTCGAGAAATATAGATAAAACTGCTTTAAGTGAATGTTCAACCTATAACTCTGCCAATACCTTCCAATTCTATTGCTAATTTGTGAAAGATTATAAAAATTTCTGAGATTTCCCAATACTGAGTAATTATACCAAAAAATTAATGGATTTTATGTTGAGGTACTTATACTCTTTGTATGTGTAAAATTATACTGGATGTCTAAATGATCATAGCACGCATGTAGGATCTTAGGATGCATGTCCTAAACTAAGGCCAAAAATTTGGCACAACTTACGCATGAGCCGCATGCATTTCAATCTTATCACAAACCTCTACATGTTGTAGCCATTAATGGGTCAAATTGAAAAGCAGGATGATCAAGAAATGTTAAAAGTGGCCGTTTACTAGTTATTGAGTCAGCAATCATTGGAATATTTTTAATGTTCAACTGTGCAGCATTTTCTATATTTGGTTCGATGATATAAAGTTTATCAACTTTGCTAGTTTCATTTTTAAATTTTAATTCTGGAGACATTATGTACTTGAGGAAATGCTGAATTTTATGGAAAATTTATTTTATAATGTAGGTCCTATTATAAAATAAACAAAAGGGCTGAAAAAGTGAATATCCGTCAGTATCCGCCGATTTCAGGATATTTATTTAAGCGGCATCCTGCCAAACATACTTCAAAGACCGGAGAGATATAGCATAATTTTGATATTTGTCCTTCATAATTCGTTTTTAAGTTTGCTCAGTTTCCTACCCATTACGTTTCACGCATTCTAAATGCGGAAACATCATCTCGAGTGTCTTTTATTACTAGTTATCCTCTAGAAAGAGTGCTCCTTTAGAGACGTCAGACTAAATTGTTTATCAATTTAACTAACCACTTCATGACCAGCATCAACTAAAGTATCCGCAATTCTTCCCAAAAATTTTGCGTGACTCCAACTTATTGATGGAGAATATACAAGTATTTTGAGTTGTTTTCCCTTTTTAAATTCTGATTGTAAATTATCAGAATTGTGTTGTAAAGTAATTAAAATTAAAGTCAAAAAACATAGTGTTGTATAAAAATATTTAAGGAAATTGAAGTGTACAGAAATCATAATGATAATCAGTCACTAAGCTAAATTAATTTTAATTAAAATTATATTGTAAAGCATATAGCTATTTAATTCCTAAGGCTGTGCAGTAGGAAGTATGGTGTATCACTCCAGTCTACTGAAGATCGGAGTGATCTCCCAGCCGCATATTAATATTTTGCACTAGCTCAAGGAGAGAAACTATAGCTCAGCTGCTTTACTACTACATATATCTAAAAAATCAAATAAATTTGTGTTGGTCCATGACCACCGGGGAGAAATTTTTCGGGCTACAAGGTGTCGAGAATGGATCGTCAATAAATGAACTTTGACTACCCCGTAATAAAATTTTAAAGTTTTTTTCAACATAGTAATGTTAAAATGATTTATTTTGTTTGTTTAATTTTCGATTAACACTCTCCCATAAATTTATTTTAAAAAGGGAGAAATTTTCAAGTACTTTTCTTTAAAAATAAAATTTGACTGAATTAGTTTGTACTTCTTAAATTTAAAAGAATTTTTAAAGATAAAATTTTTAATTTATCGTCAATAAATGAACTTTTAGTTAAAATAAAGTTAAGAGTATTTTAACTCAATCAACTGAGTAACAAAAGAATTTTTATCGTTTAAATGAACAAAATTTTTATTTCTTATCTTTTTGGAACTACACAAATTGTAGGTACATTGAGTTTTTTCCTTCCTTAAAATAATGTAAATAAAAAATAAAGTTATAGTTTCTAGTTTTTATATTTTGTGAAGACGTATTAAATTACTTAAACAAAATAGCTGATTATCTATACTCTAAAAAATTTTTGATACCAAGATTGCCTTTAAATTTTATAATTAATTCGGATTATTTCTCTCAAGGTTGAGCACAAATTTTAAGATAAAAGTTGGCCTAGAAGCAAAACTATGGGTTTTATATGGAAAACTCTATATCAATTAATCAGCTTGTCAATGCGATTCGAATGACGAGAAAAAATCCTTAAGAGAGCCATATGAACATAGATAAAACCCTCTTATGTATAAATTAAAATAATTTTGGATAATATAAGTAGACAGTAAAAAAATTCTTATACTGCCAGGAATCCAGTAAATTCTTAACCTCAAATCGTGGATATATGAGAGATAGTATTGAGGCGGATTGAACATAAGGCAAAGAATATAAAGGTTTCGAATATAACGTGGTTCAATATAAGTACAAGTATTATACAATATCAAAAATTTTTTTGAGTTTTTAAAAATTAAAAAAAATGAAATTTAATTTTCAAAAATGCAAAAAATATTTAAGTTTATTTTAATATCTTTTCAATAGGCAAATATGATAGGCAAAAATAGGCAAAAATCGGATATGTCAAATATATTTTTTAATAAATAAAAAAATTTCCATTGACGGGTTCGAATCAGTGACCTCTATAAAATAAAAACTAAAACACAGATTCTAAAAACCAAAAATTAAATTTTTGAAATAAAAAATTTTGTAATTCATAAAAATATATTTTTAAAAATCAAAATTAAGATTTTTAAAGTAAACCATTTGTATTTAATCCCTGTTTATGGAATCTCTTCAAAATTTTTTGGAGCTTTCTTTTTAGATTTTGTTTTTAATCTTGTGTCATTTCATCGTTATTTTTGTGTGAGTTTTGAAAAAAATTTTTAATGTTGACACTAGTTTAGCCGTTTCCAGATTTTTGATTATTATTGCCACATTTTCATTATAAACTAATCCCTACATGTCCAATTGTGTCACAGACTCCATCATAGTATCCTTCATGTTATATAAAATTTGGACAATCAAATAACACGCCAGACGTTTCCCTCTCTGCCTCTGTTGTATCAAAACCCCGCCATTGTATCAAACGCGTGTTTGAGTACTGAATTCGTCATATTCTTTATCTAGTATTTTTGAATTTCCCAATATACGTGGCCATTTCTAACCTCGTCTGGTAATAAATCAATCCTTATTAAATTTTAAAACATATATATTTTGGTACTAGGGGTTGAGAAAAAGCCAGGTCGGGTTCGATTATGGTTTAAAAATTCTCTCTAAATATTGATTCGGTGATGGCAATCTAGGAGGGTAAAATGGGAAAAAGTTAGGTTGAGTTGTTTAGAAAAATTTTTCGGATCCGTTTCTGTTCGAGAAAACCTAAAAATATCAATCAACGCATTGCAAGAGATCTTATTAAAAATCTCACAACACCAGAAGGATCTATCTTCTTTTAAAAATTCAACGTTAAGGTATATCCGGAAACTACACACTACATACTTATAAACGTAATAGAATCAAAACAAACTTACATTCAATCGATTAGCCCGTCCAGACTTTTAGACAATTTTGAACTACAACCAAAATTTAAAAAATAGGCATCCCCATATTCAGTTGGGGTCTTAATGCACGACGAACAGTTAAAGATCAGGATCGGTGAGGCAATAAATCTGAAATGGAAGTTAACATATTTAAAAATAACGTATTTCTGACACCTAAAACTTATGAAGGGATGGTTAGTCTTTGTTCTAGGTAATAAACATTAAATAAGATAGGAATAATTAAAATTCTCGACTTAATGTTAGAAAGCTATGATCAATAGTGTCGAAAAAATTATTATAAAAACTGGATAAAACCACCGTCCATTTCGTTTAATTTAAACAGAATTTAAAATCTAACTTTTAGATAAAATAAGCTAGCAGAATTTAATCGTAAATACATACATTTGCACAAGACGGTGCTCTTACTAACTATCTTCTATACATACTATCTTCAAACAGTTTAAGGATGTCTATTTAATTATTATATAATTTTCGATTTCAAAGTAAATTTATATTGAATGATAAAAAAGTGACCCTATCGGAATTTTTTCTTTCTAAAATATCGAATACCCCAGATCCATGGATACTTCAGATGCCCAATCAAATCTTATAGTATACATTCAAATCACTCTTAATCCAGCTAAATATCCGGAAACTACACTAATATCCGGAAAAAAACCGACTTAAAAAAACCGACTTTTTTACCGACTTAAGAGATTACAAATTTAAAACTGTGATAAGGCTTGTCGGACATTATTTCTGGTTATAAGTTTGGCTGTGGTGTTATTCAACACATTTCTAACATTTCCTTGTGATACACAGAAACCTCAACGATTTGAACAGGTAATTAATCGGGGGATCGATTTGAACAGGTAATTAATCGGGGGATAGACTAATGCTAGTCCATCTGGCAAAATGGCTAGTAAACTTCAATTACAATGGTTCTTAAATGAATTTGCACCAAAAGTTCAAGCCGAGAAAATATTTTTACATGATTGCTGGACGGCTTTCGAATGATGTAGTGAAGATAACAGACTACAGTTCAATTTACGTTTTTTATGTTTACCTCCAAAATCGACCTTGAAAATACAACCATTGGTTAGATTAATTAATCGTCAGCTCAAGCTTTTTTGCGAAGTAGACACGAAAAACTAAGAAGATCCTATAATAATTATAATCTTTCACATAGCACCAGCACAGGTAATTTTGGTATAATTTTTTAGGTATAATATTTGGCTTATAGGAAAGATACTCAACGAAACTCACTTTATGTTTTCGGCTCCTATTTTTAAAGAGTTCATCCACTATGCTTAGACACTTTCATGATTTCTGGGATTAGTAGATTCCTACTTACGAAACACCACGACAATATTGTTTTCGAAACATCGAAATATATTTAAATTGTAACTGTGGGAAAGCCCCGTTTATTCGTTGTTCTTTGTTTTGAACATTTTATTTTACAATCTCATCGTTGTACTCATCGTTAAAATTAAATGAATAAATCATTATTAAAAAATAATTGTTTAATAGTAAATACAAAGGGAGAAGAAAAGCAAAGAAAAGCAAAGTGAGAAGAAAAGGAAAGAGAGGAGAAAAGAAAGAAAACTCACCGCTCCAAAAGTTGGAAACTTTGTATAACTTTTCGAAATGGGGGTCAGGGGAAGAAAAGCCGGATACTAAAACGGGTTTTTGACCACGCTCTACACTATGGTATAATTTTTATTTGAAAATTTTTGGTCACAGTTCGAAATGTTTACTTGTCAGCTCGGCAATGATATTTCGTTTTAGATGAAATAGCGTTTGTCCGTATCGGTTGCCTAGATATATGACAGAATTTTGCAATTTATATCTCCTCTAACTTACATGAAAAAAATTTCTTTTCTAGTTCATCGTAATTTCTTAAAAATAATTAAGAAATAAAATATTTGTCTATCTAAATTTTAAGAATGTCATTAAAGTGCATTTACTAAATAATTGTCTTTGGCTCAATGAGCCATTAGGATGTCGGGCCTTTTCTTTCATTATCTGCTTTTAAATATTTATTTTAAATATTTTCTTTATCTATAGCCAAGAGTCTAGAGAGGTAAAGAATGTTGACACTAAATTACAATTTCAAAATATAGCATTTAATTGGTAAAACAATTTTTGTCTCACAATTTTGGCTTACAATTTTGGCTCAAAATTTTGTATAAAACACAAAACGATTCAACAAATAAAATTAAATTTTAAAAATGTTTTTCATCAAATTTTTATTTATTTTTAAAATATTATTTTTAATATTTTTTGATTATTCTTTTTCTGATTATAAAAATAATCAACGAATTGTGGTTAAATCTACAGAAAATAATAAAAACGAGGATGGAAGTGTTAAAATAAATTTGTTGAGAATGGAAGTAAATAAAATTGAAGAAGAAACGTGGCGATACAAAATTGAAATTCTATACGAAATTAATGAGGAGAATGAAAATGATTATGTGTATACAACTTGTCAAAATAAAAGGAATATTTAACGGAAATAAAGGGAAAAAATTAGTTTTGATTGAGGATTCATTATGGATCAACCAAAATAAAATATATATTTACTTACAGAAGGAAAAAGAAGACGAAAAGGTATAAGTTTACAAGTATATTATTTTGATTTTTTCAAGTTTGGCAAATTTGACCCCCCCCCCCTCCCCACTCTCACATTTTATTTTTTCTCCTTTCCTCCTTTC